CAATCTGGTAAAAGTTGAAAATTTAAATCTTTATTATCAATTTGCATTAAGAATTCTTTATATATATCGTAAGCTTCTTCAATATCTTTTGTAAGTTGTAATCTTGATTTCAAAAAAATTGTCCAGGATTTAATATCTGGTAAAATTCCATTACAATATGACTGTCTTGAAAAATGATTATCAAAAATATTTTGAACCGTTTGTGACTCATTTTTTTCAAAATGTAATTGCATCAAAATATTAATCACCGTTGAATTAATATCTACTCCATGATTTATCATGTATGAATAAATCTTTGTTGCACTTTCTTGATCTCCGATTTTTAAGTATCCATCAATCATCATTGCAAATGTGTAAACATCTGGTTTTATTCCGAATTTTATAATTTCATGATAAAGTTGATTTGCGGCTTTCATGTCCAATTTAATTATTGAATTACGTATTAGAGTATTATATAATCTAATATCAGGTTGTATTTTAAGCGATTTCATTGTTTTAAAGATTTGTTCTGCTTGTTCCAATTGGTTTTCTCTCATAAATGTGTTTATAAGAGATGAAACAATCTTTGTCGTTGGTTGTTTATGAGAAGATATCATCTTATTATAAAATTCCAGTGCTTTTTTTGTATCTTTTTGTTTTCCGAATCCATCTATTAATGTCAAGTAAGTTACTGAATCTGCTTCTATTCCATTCGATATCATCTCTTCATAATATTCTATCGCTTTTTTCATGTCATGTTTCAACACGTATACATGAATCATGCAATTATAGGTATAAACATCTTTTTTGATGTCAAATTCACTAAGGCTATCAAATAATTGAATTGCGCCATCGAGATTTCCAGCTTTTTTAAGACAGTCTAGTGTTAAATTGGCATGATATGTTTCGTTATTAAGTGTAGGAATGGAATTATTAGGTGAAATGATTTTACTTGATGACGAAAGGCGACATCCCTGGCGAAATGACGAAATCTTGGCAAAAGGTGAAACCCCTGGCGAAATTATTAAACCCTTGGTGTAAGACGGAACCTCTGAAACTTTAATTAAAGATGAAATCTTAAGTAAGACAAAAGGTTGAGCTATAATTGGTAAACGAAACCATTTTTCCATGATGCTTAAAGCTATAACTCCTACAAATGACAATGATGGCGCTGAGACGAGTAAGAATGTAAACTAATTTGGGACTTCGTACTTATCACCGATGGATTTTCACTGATCTACATCAATTGACCAATAAGATTACAAAGCACCCGCAGTTAACTATGGATACCTTGTACGTACCAGATTCTTGACAATATAGTGATTAGTACCAGAAGAAAATTTTTTTATGAATTCGACATTGGCAGATTTGGTTTTTATATTCATTTATGATAAATTAATGTATATTTACTATGACGACTCATTTAAATCGGAAATCAAATACAATCTGCGTGACAGGTAGATTCATATCAGTTTTTGAGAGACCATTATACAAGTCAAACTAAAGTAATCCGTTCCATTAATAAAATTTTTAAAAATTCACTACATCAAAAGTTATTAATAAATTCACTATAGCAGGAGAATTTCATATAGACTAATTTGAGTTAACTTCACTATATCGAGATCGAGAGTTAATTAGACTGATTATAAAATAGATACGTATTATAATCAATTTTAAATTCAAAACATGAAATATTAAATATGGGCTAGGTGCTGTGAAAAGGGCCCAAATTGACAATTTTTTTTAAAAGGAATGCTTCAACCTATATTGGTGCACTAATAAAAAATAGCAGGAAGGTGATTTTACATATAACGCATACCCTAACCTTAACTCCAAACTAACACTTATCCTAACTTTAACTAAATAGTCAAAAATATTTAATATATAATGCTTTAAATGTTTTTAATAAAATAACAAAATACAACAATTTTAAAAAACTGAATTATAGAAAAATGTTATAGAAGACTTTCTAACAGATAATGTTCTTGGTCTTATTACAAGTAGGTGGTTATTGATAAAGTTTAGATGTAAAATACCAAGATGTGGTCATATTTCTTGTAATTTTTTTGGGGTCAAACTTTTGTTTTAGTAAACTTCAAGATATTTGTTATTCAAACTAAAGAGGTTACATTAAAAATTTTTTAGATAGATACAAATTGATTTATAACAAAATAATTAATATATGTACAGTATATACGTATTGATTA